TTTTTTCATTTTATATTGTTTTGTTAAATTCAGATACGAACGGGAGGGAGTGTTAGATGTATATTTGGCGCTCGTAACTGAATTCTAACGCATGCGCAATAGCAAGAAGACGAGACGCCGTGACGCTGCACTTCAGCGTCTAATACCTATAGTTTACTCACTCTCGCGCGGTCAGTCAGTCGATACGCACTCCCTGCTTTTCGTATTTTCCTTTTGATTTGATCTTGCTTTATTTCAGTTCAGCTTACGATTGTATCCTTGATTGTAAAGACTAAAGATAGCATACACTGAAGATAGTGAGAATAAACGTGTCCGTGTTTTATAATAAAAATGACAGTGTTGTACATTTTATTGCCCGATCACATACCCACACATCCATACTGCTAACAAATATATATTTTTAGGATATTTATATTTACATGAAATTTTATTTTATTTACAACTAAATGGCAAAACATAATCATTATTTTGATTAGTTATTCATTAAATATTAACATAATTATTGGATAATGTATGACTGAAAAATGTATCATTTTGGTATGTATAATCAGCAAATTAAATTAAAGGTTCAATTGCCGTAGCCATTTTATCTCAGAAACAAATATCTTAACACATAATATTAATAACAATGTTAAATTTATTGCATACACAAATTCACACGATTTTAGTGTAGTTTATATGCAAAGAACTAGTTATGTACAAACACAAATAATAGAATACTGTGCCTTAAATTCTGTACCTTATTATAAGGACACAAAATTGGAAACTAGAATCAACTCTGCTCTAGCCCAATGGATAAGATACTTGGCTAAGAATATGTTAGCCAAAGCTCAAGCCACCTAAGAGGCTTTTTTTTCTTTTGTTTTATTTTTATATTCATTGTTGATGCGTTATTAAGATTTTTCAATAGTTAAATTTAAGTAGAAATAATTTCTTTAATAAAAAAAAAGCTTGTAAGAACCATATGGTTTTACTTAAAAACCACATGGTGATTTGAGACAAAAACCACATGAAAATGGAGTGGTAAGACCACATGTTTTTATGTGGTTTTTTACATGATTTTACAATGTGGTTTTTCGATATGGTTTTCTTCAAAAGAGTAATTTTTATCCCTCCCATTATACTGTGAATGCCCCAGAACACATAGTTTAAATAATGGCAAAAAAAAATTCAGCCCTCGGAACTTGCAATTTTGGCTATCGAAAAATTTTTAAAACTCACAAGTATCACCTATGTCATTTTACTGTATAAGTCCCAGAATGCATAGTTTTGATGATGGCCAAAAAAAAAATTTTCCTTTGTGACTTGTATTTTTTTACACTGATAGGACTTGTATTTTTTGACTGTGCCAAAAAATACAAGACCCATCAGTGCCAAAAAATACAAGTCCCAAGGAAAAATTTTTTTTTGGCCATCATCAAAACTATACATTCTGGGACTTTTACAGTAGAATGAGACAGATTACGATTGTGAGTTTAAAAAAATTTTTGATAGGCGAAATTAAAAGTTCCGTGCGCTGAAAAAGTATTGAAAAAGTATTTCGATAGCCAAAATTACAAGTTCCATACGCTGAAAAAGTATAAGTCCCGTCAATGTGACAAAATACAAGTCCCGACGGAAATTTTTTTTCTTTTACCATCATCCAAACAATGCGTTTTGGGACATTCACAGTAAAATGAGATCAGGGAGAATCAAGAGGTTTAAAAAAATTTTTACCTGTCACATTCTATTGTAAATGTCTCAAAATACAGACTTTTAATGTTCCTAAATATATTCTTTTTTTCTTTGGAACTTGTATTTTTTGGCACTAAAGAGACTTAAACTTTTTTTAGCGCTCGATACTTGTAAATTTCGCTATCGAAAATTTTTCAAATCTCTTAATTTTCACCTACTTTATTTGACTGTAAATGACCCAAAACGTATTGATTTAATGGACAAAAAAAAATGTTTTCGTCGGGACTTGTATTTTGTCACACTGATGGGACTTAAGGTGGTTGTATCCCACGATATTGTCAATGCAGCAGATTCAACAGTTTGGTATGTCATCTATCCCTCTCACACTTATGCTAAAACACAACCTTTAGCAGCTTTTTCTGCACTTATTAATTTATTTCTTATCTCACAGACACCCTCGAGATGTTTCATTTTTTTTTTTCAGTGCACGGAACTTGTAATTTGTGCTATCGAAAATTTTTTAAACCTCTTAATTTTCACCTATCTCATTTTATTGTAAATATCCTAAAACGTATTGTTCGGATGATGGCAAAAGAAAAATTTTTTCCTCGGAACTTGTATTTCGTCGCACTGACGGGACTTATACTTTTTTAGCGCATGGAACTTGTAATTTTGGCATGATAAATCAGCTGTTTTTTTTAGCAGTGCCGGCTGTTTTAGATCAGGTTCTTCCTACGGAAGATTTCATGGGATTTTCCTGATCCACATGACAATTGTGATGAGAAAATTTGGAGCAGTTGTTAGGGCCCTTCCCCATCCAATTCTTTCCTAATTCCTTTCCAATCCCAGGTACTAAGTGCTCTAAGTGGTGTCTACAAGAGAGTCGGGTGTAAAGCACTATAATAATAAAAAAAAGGACAAAAAAGATATATTTTACTTTACATACATACTTATACCTTGGCTAGGCCTTGACCATAGCATGCGGTTAACCTCACCACATCGTGTAATAAACTCTACATTTAAGCCTGCCCAGGCCCTGACATCGATGTAAGGCTTCCCTTGCTAGGCCCTGGTCTTAGCTTTTGGATCACATTCTTGTGAGGTTGTTGTTCTAATAGGTTTGTTTTGGGCTTAGCTTGGAGCAGCTCGGAGCTCCTCTGAGCTCTGAGCTCCTCTGAACTTTGCCTTAAAACACGCGTTTTGCTCTGAGCTCATGGGAGTGACTCCGAGCAAATTTCTACAGTCGGTATATCTATATTTACGGTCTTGGCCATTTAAATATTTACGTTTTGGCCATAAATATAGATATACCGTAGGAATAGTAGACTGTAGAAATTGGCTCGGAGTCGCTCCGGTGAGCTCGGAGCAAAACGCGTATTTTGGGGCAAAGTTCGGAGGAGTTCGGAGGAGCTCTGAGCTGCTCCAAGCTAAGCCCCAAACGAACCTCTTTTTCCATGATCTTTCCGTAGAATCAAGTAATTAAGTTTCGTGTATGAACCCTAAAATAATGCTGCTTCAGATACAGAGGAAAGAACAAGTACGCTCATAATAAAATAAAATTACGTTAATAACAATCTCTAGAAGTTCAGATCAAAGTTTTGGCTCCTTTGGTTATGGAATAGTATTTACTGTTATTAAAAATGCTTAGCCGATTATGTAAAAAATTTAAATCTATTTGTGTACTAAGAAATCCTTTAGTTCTTCGAAATTTACATTTTCAGAACAAATGTAATCAACAAAATAAAGTATTTCTTCGAAAAAACTATTTCTCACAGTACCTAAAAAACTATGTAAGACTTACTATTTCTTACCTTATGATGAATATTCTTAATTTGGTTTTCTATAACTTAACAATTTAAGATGTGTGACTACAACCGGAAATTATCAATACAAATGGATTCAACACGATTATCAGGAAGAAAATTAGTCGGAATTTGGTTACTGACGTGTAGTGGCATGGTATTTTTTGCTGTTACTTTAGGTAAAGTGTAAATCAAATTATTTTTCGTTACATAATTAATTTTTGAAGTGATAAATTAATAGTGATTTTTATTTAATTGAATGTCAAAATATGACATAAGAGTTGAAAATACTATGTAAGAAAAGTATTACGTTATAGAAGTATTTATCTGAGTGACAAATAGCAATATGACGTTCATATTAGAAAAACTAGCAGCTAAAAATTGGTATTATAATCTTCAGAAAGCCTGTGACAAGTCAAAGGTCATAATAATATTTTGTTGCATAGACATCGCAAGTGGTCAAGTTGATATATTTATGTTTTATAACAAGACCACTTATTAAATTTATAAAATATAGTATCAAGACCTGCGTGGGCTTCTTGACATTTTGTGGCAATAAGTTTCTGGGAGTAAAAGTTATATTGCTATTATGTGATCTGAAAGGTGCATGATATGCCAGATTGTCTTTCATCGCAATGTACCTTAGATAAGTACTTATTCATAATTGCATAAGATCAAAACTTATTCATTTGAAAAACTGTTGGCATAGAAGTAACAGGTTATACGTTTTTTTGATGATTGGTCTGTTGGTCGATCCGATTCCTCTGGCATGTACATCTGTATAGGAAGTGAATATAGGTATACTTTGATGAACTACAGTTTACAAAAATAGTTTTCTTTATCAATTTTGGGGTCCAGTTCCAATGGCCGTCAGATTTTTTCTTTCTTTTTGATATAATTCATTATTCTGTTTTAATTTCTTATTATAACTTTCGTTATCAATTTTGGGGTCCAGTTCCAATGGCCGTCAGATTTTTTCTTTCTTTTTGATATAATTCATTATTCTGTTTTGATTTCTTATTATAACTTTCGTTTTAATTTATCAATATTGTCAACACTTTTTTTTCGGGCACGTCAAAAAAAATTTATTTTTAATACTAACTCTATTAAATGATTTATCACGTTAATAGTTCTAGTATGCAAGGCTATTTCATTACTTTGTACTAATAAACAAATGATTTTTAAGGTTATGAATAAAATTTGAACGTTTTCAAACTTCCAAAAAATTATGAACGTCTAGTTTATGAGAGAAAATAGTCAAAGGCCCAAAAAATTTACTTTCGTTATAAGGAGGTTCGGTAGTGTTTGCGGGGGGAAATCTCAGAGAGGCAAGGGGAGGGAGAGCGTCTGGCAACGTTGTGAATTTTTTCGGCTGCTGGCACGTCGTCTACTGTTGTTGTCGTCTACTGCTGTTGTCGTCGTCTACTGATGACAGTGTACTTATTTCTTCGGTTGAATTTTTTATAATTAAATTTTCAATTACAAAAGGAGTTTTTACTATTCATTACATTTCAAAGCGCGCTCCAAAAGCAGCGTTGCCAAGTCGTCTGCTGCGAGCACATTTTTGCTGTTTTTTAATAGAAATTTGTGGTAGGGCTCTCTCAAACTTTGACAAAATATTATTTTGACAATATTCTTTCATTTAAAAAAAAAAAAAGCAAGTTCATTTAGCCGTTTTTTTTTTATGTGAAATTTAAGTGATTTCTCCATAAGCCTACATGTTAAAATATTGTTTTTTCAGGTCAATATATCTTGAAAACGGTGTGGTTAAACCCTTCAAAAATTTAGCTGTAATTTGATACTATTATCCCAAACGACATATCGAAATTTCAAAAATTTTCATCATAAAAAATTATCACTACCGAACCTCCTTAATAATATCATCAACAATTATTGCCAGCAAATTTCGACAATAGTATTTTTTTAATTTTAAAAAATGGGTGCTTTATGTTTTTATGCTATCACTACACAGATATTAAAATTATATCCAATCCCACATTCCCACACAATTTAAGTTGCACTTTAAGTTCTGGAAACCTTTTGATTAGTAATAGTGCCTGTTATGCAGTCCATAATGCTTAGTATAAATTAATCTAATTGTTTTTATGTGATAGAATTGATCATAAAAGTGCAAGGCAGTTAAGTCGTTTTTGTTTAATTATCGTAGTATTATATATATAGTAGTATATAGTTCTGTTTAATGATAGGTTACCAAATTTTTTTATAAAAATCGGGTATTCGCTACGTGTACAAGCTGAAAAAGCAATCGCAGCAATACCTGTGCTAATATGTGAAACTAAACGATATGTTTGTCTTCTGCTAGCAGACTGCTAAGCATTACTATCATCAGAACGTTATTTGTTTATACATCGACAACCATTCTAAGGGTTACATTTTTAATAAAATTATGAGTAGTATGTACATATTTAACTCAGGCATGTTCATTTTAAAAACGCAATGAAATACATCGTATACTGTGTATTTCTTAGAGTTTTTAGCTGGGGCCCGATCCTCCAAGCGTATCGTATGAACGTGTGTACATACTGTGTAC